AAAGTGAAATGAACACTATGAGAAATGGTGACTTGATCAGCCCTCACCCTGACTGTTGATGAGCAACTTAATATGTTATCCCTCTTAGTATTTTTTGTTTGTTTGTTCTACTTAATACTTTTGGTTGAATACTGTAATCAATACACAATTCTTCTTAAGTGCTGAAACTTAACTGAAAAATGATAGCTGTTAAATATAAGAGTGGGAATAAGAGAGGGAAGAGATGTGCAATTCGAGACATGCTCAAGCTGACTTATCTCAAACGGTAGAGTTAGAAACATACCAGGGGATTCGAATTCAATCCCATCAAGGTGGCATGTACCAAGTCCCAGTGATCAATTTCTGCTCACAATTGATCATAATGATAGGACTAAGAGACAAAGGGATCACATAAACAAGAGTAGTGTCTGCAAATACTAGCTGATAGAATAAAAAAGGGAAAGAACGATCCAACATGGGAAGTGAGATACACAGCAGACCCATAGAATGGCAGATGTCCTAAACAGCACTCTGGCCTCAGAATCAGCCCTTAAGGAATGCGGATCCGGCTGAAAAGCCCATGAGAGTATTTCAGGCATAAAAGCCAAGACACTCGGGGTGGGGTGGGGGGGATCCTAAATGAAAGATCTCCGCAAGTGAGATCCCAGTGGAAAGAACGGGTCATAAATCTTTTTTTAAAAAATTTCTTTGTATACTCCTATATTAGATGGTTTGGTTTCCCTGGAAAACCCTGAAGTGGTACATCATTGTAAAAATCGGGAAATTGGAGACAAAAAGGTCTTACAAATTACCCGGAAAAGTAAATAAATAAACCAGTTAACTTACTAAGGGTCAATATTAGAATGGAATATAAATACCTAGTGCATCTTGTGAGATTTAGAAATTGAATGGCAAGGCCACAGTTGAATTAATGAGAGGTACAACAAAAACTAAATGAAATTTAAACAGAAAATATAGAGAAGGAAAAGTACTCACTTCCTAAGTGGCTCAGCATTGAGCACTGTCTACATGGCTGTAACTAAACACTATTGATGACAGAACCCAAATATCATCGTATTAGAAGGATGTTGAGAAGACTTAATTTGTAGAAGGATTAAGAAGAAAACAAAGCAAAATTCTCATGATAGAAGGATATAATTAAGGTTTAAAAATCAAGAATAAAATATGACTTATTTAGAGACCTACAGCTAAATTCAAAATAATGACCTAACAGGAAAAGTTAATTAAGTTGGTTTTGGGATAATGTGGAGAGAAGGGTGATGAATTCTGTTTGTTGTTTTAAAGATCTATTTGTTTTGTTTTGTTTTGTTTTGTTTTGTTTTGTTTTGAAAGTCAGAGTTACACAGAGAGAGAAAGAGAGGAGCTGCGTCAATCTGAAGCCAGGAGCCAGGAGCTTCTTCCAGGTCTCCCACATGGACGCAGAGGCCCAAGGACTTGGGCCATCTTGTACTGCTTTCCCAGGCCACCGCAGAGAGCTGGATCAGAAGTAGAGCAGCTAGGACTTGAACCGGTGGCCATATGGGATAAAGCCCTGCAGGCAGCAGCTTTATCCATCACACCACAGCGGCGGCCCCTGTTTTTTGTTTTTTTTTAAGATTTATTTATTTACTTGAGAGGAAGAATTACAGACACAGAGGGAGAGACGGAGAGAAAGGTCTTCCATCCGCTGGTTTGCTCCCCAAATAGCCACAACTGCCAGAGCTGCTTCCTCCCAACCAAAGGTCTTTTTATTTATTTGAAAGGCAGAACTGCAGAGAGGAAAATTGATTTTCCATCTGCTGGTTCAATCCTCAAATTCCTGCAACAGCCAACTCTGGGCCAAGCTGAAACCAGGCACCTTGAACTCCATCTTGGTCTCCCACATGGGCAGCAGGTGCCAAGCACCTGGATCATCATCTGCTGCCCTCCCAGGCACAATAGCAGGGAGCTGGATCAGAAACAAAGCAGCTGGGACTGTGGTATTGCTATATATAATACCACAAGTAGTGGCTTAACCTGCTATGGCACAACCCCAGCCCATCGCCCTCCATTTTTTCACTCCCTGCTCCTACCTTGGAATGCTCCCCCCGCATCCTCTACACTTACTCAGATCTCACCTCCAAGACACAGGTCTAAACTTCCGAAATTGGAAAGTTTTCTCTGCTTCCTTAAAGCAATTGCTTTTTGTATCATTCAGCATTTAATCACTTACTCTCTTTTGATATTTACTAACTTCTAACATTTAATATTTTCTTTTTTATTTAATTATTTATTTGAAAGAGTTACACAGAGAGAGAAGGAGAGGCAGAGAGAGAGAGAGAGAGAGCTCTTCAATCCACTGGTTCACTCCCCAATTGGCTGCAATGGCCAGAGTTGCGCTGAACTGAAGCCAGGAGCCAGGAGCTCCTTCCAGGTCTTCCGATGTGGGTGCAGGGATCCAAGGGCTTGGGCCATCCTCCACTGC